ACCTAATAAAATTTATTTTTTTAAATTAAAAATTTAATTACCTTTAAATTACAATAATAAGTATCATTAAATACTAATAATCAATAAAAATAACTTACTAGCTATTATATTATATAATTTATTTTTTTAAATTAAAAATTAAGTTGACTTTAAATTTACAGTAATAAGTGTAATTAAATACTAATAATCAATAAAAATAACTTACCAACTATTATATTTTTAATATTTTTTTAAATAAAAATTTTAGTTTACTTTAAATTACAGTAACAAGTGTAATTAAATACTAATAATCAATAAAAATAACTTACAATCTATTGAATTTAAATAAAAAATTTAGTTAACTTTAAATTACTAATAATCAATAAAAATAACTTACTGTCTAAATTATTATAAAAAACTTAATTAACTTTAAATTATAGTAACAAGTGTAATTAAATACTAATAATTAATAAAAATAACTTACAGACTAATATAATTTATTTTTTTAAATAAAAAATTTAGTTAATTTTAAATTACAGTTACAAGTGTAATTAAATACTGATAATTAATAAAAATAACTTACTTTCTAAATAAAATTTTTTTTTAAATAAAAATTTTAGTTGATTTTAAATTACAGTAATAACTGTAATTAAATACTGATAATCAATAAAAATTAATTTACCTTCTATTATATTATTAATTATTTTTTAAATTAAAAATTTAGTTTAGTTGACTTTAAATTATAGTAACAAGTGTAATTAAATATTGATAATCAATAAAAATAACTTACCCTCTAATAAAATTTATTTTTTTAAATTAAAAATTAAATTGACTTTAAATTATAGTAACAAGTGTAATTAAATATTATAATCAATAAAAATAACTTACCATCTATTATATTATTAAATTATTTTTTTAAATTAAAATTTAGTTGAATTTAAATTACAATAACAAGTGTAATTAAATACTACTAATTAATAAAAATAACTTACTTTCTAATAAAATTTATTTTTTAAATAAAAAATTTAATTAACTTTAAATTATAGTAACAAGTGTAATTAGATACTAATAATCAATAAAAATAACTTACCCCCTAATAAAATTTATTTTTTTAAATTAAAAATTTAATTGACTTTAAATTACAGTAACAAGTGTAATTAAATACTAATAATCAATAAAAATAACTTACAGGCTAATATAATTTATTTTTTTAAATTAAAAATTTAATTGACTTTAAATTATAGTAAAAATTATAATTAAATAGTTACCATCTATTATTAAATAATATATAAATAAAATATTTAGTTTAGTTATAATTATAATAAAATGTTTAATAAAAACTGATAATAATTAAAATAGTTTACCATCTAGATTTAAAAATAAAAAAATTTAATTGAGATTTAATTATAGTAAAAGATAATTAAATTTTGAAATAACATACCAACTATTATTAAATATTTTTTAGATATTCAAAATAAAGTTTAATTAAATTGTTAAAATATATCTGTAGTAGAAATTAAATAACTTACGAGCTATAACATATCAACCATTTAAATTATTATTTTTTTTTTTCAAAAAAAAATTATTACGAAAATTTTAGAATATCGTCTCATTTCCGTAAATAAATGTTTTGATCAATATGCTTACCAATTTCATCTAAATCACCATTTAATTCTTTTAATATAGGAGCCGCGCGAGCATTTGAAACTAGCTCTGGCTCTATTGAATTTAGTTTTTTTTTTTTTAAGAAAAATATTTAGAATCTCGTCTTGAGTCAGTAAAATAAACTTGACATAATCGGTTACATTTTATTACCTTTTTTTGCTTTATTAAATAAATCTTCAAGCCTACTTTTGCCGTTGCTGTTGGACATTGTTATAAATTAGAAGAAACAAAATATTTCAAAATTTTTATTGTCCGTTCTTTTTTAAGATTGTCATACATCTGTCGTGTTCTATTTGTGCGCCATCCAAAAAATGTCACGAAAATTCACGTGATATTTTTCGTTACCTATGGTGTAATATATTATTTTATTCTATCATTGTTGATCATTTTTATAAATTTAGTCAATCAATCATTTTCTACATTCTTAAACTTTTTACCATCATACAGATTAGACTTTGCTTTTTAAATTCATACATATGATATTATGTAATAAAGGAATTAATTCCTTAATTAAAAAAATTATTGAATAAATAGCAGTAATATAAGTGAACTGTTAAACTTACTGAGTTTTCAGCTGAATTAAATGATCGAACGTAGACTTTACAACCAGATACAAATAATACCCCAAACCGTATGTGCCATCGGTTTGTTGAGTGAATATTAATCTCATCGTAAAACAAATACACAGTGAAATTCGATAAACCGGATCTATCGGTTCCACTAAAAATATCCGGTTTATCGGGATATCCGGTATAGCGAAAATTTTTTGATATACTAAAAATCCATTATACTGAATTTTTAAAAATATTTCACATTAAAGATGACAAACTACATTATATTTTAACTTTTCATCTTAATTATTATGTGATTAAGATCATGAAAATGAATTTAAAATATTTTTAATTGAATATAATTATGTCAATAACTTCAGCCGGAATTAAGATTTTTATAGTTCTGGGAAAAGTTAAGATTTACCGAATCACGTTACTTCAATTCTATTGGTTCTTGATCACGTGCTTCGGTTTATCGAATCATTTTTACTATAGCTGGTTGGAAAATTGATCCGTTATATAGCGAATATCGAGCTTTTACTAGTAAACTCCGGTATATCGAAACTATTTTAATATACGTGATTTGGTTCCAGCAAAAAGTCCGGTTTAAGCCCAAATCCGGTTTATCGAAGATCCGGTTTATCGAATTTCACTGTGTATATGTTTTAACACGAACAAAAATTTTATTCAGGTTTTTACAATGGATTAAATATGGCGCGTGTCAACCTATTCCTTTTTTGGAAATTTATTTCAGATAAAGTTAATCGGTCGCAAAATTTGGCCGCTAGCGCATTACATTTGTCGGCTAATAAACACGGTGGACTTTTACTTTTTGATATTTATTTAAAATAAAATAGTTATTAATTATTTTCAACAGATAGGTGAGATTTTCAATAAAATAAGTACTGAATTTTCCTTTTTAAAAAAATAAAAATGCTAGAGGAAGAAATGTTTTTGTAGAGGAACTTCCGCGGAAAGGCCAGAAATGCGAAAACTTATATATTATTTTAGGGGTAAAGTTAGAAAATATATATAATACTATTTGACGTCAATGTATGAAAATTTCATGTTTTGAATGTTAAAGAGGTGTTGATAAATTAATTATATTGTAATAGACGAAATCGAAAACCATATCTTTAGCACAGCATTTTATCCCCTCCATTCATTATAAAAAAATTTTAAATAGTTGTATTTTTAAATGATTGATTTCATTGAGAATTACTGTTTTACCATTTGATTGGCTAAAATGGACAAAATTTTTGGCAGGCCATTGCATTACTTTATCGTATAATTTTTTTTTGTCAGATTATCAGATTTGGACAAAATAAATCAAAAAATAAGATTAAAAAAAAATCCATAATATTTCCTAAAGTGCTCAAAAAGCCTAAGGAAAAAAGAAAAAAAAAATAATCAAATTAAAAAAGTGGGAATATTTCGATTGCTACGTTACAAACAATTCATAATAAAGTAAAAAGAAAATTAAATTATAAAAATAACGACAAAATGAAAACTTAAAGAAAATTATAATAAAAAATATATATATATACCGAGTTTAAATTTCGAAGCTAAACCCACAAGCCTGCAACATTCAAACTCGCCTAAATAAATAAAAATAAAAAATAAAAAAATACAGTATTAAGCTGATCCTGTATTTTGATCACACGACTTATTTGATATTTTTTCAATCAATATTTTTAGATACTTTAAATTGTAAAAATAGATTTAAATTTTTTAGATTACTAAAGTTGTTTTTGTCAGTAACACGTGATCTATTTAGCGTCAATTATTTCATGTGCGGGCGATAGTAAAATAACATGAAAATATATTAGTTATTTACCGCACAATTACCGATATCACATATGTTTATATGACTTTTTATCCTTATTTAAAGTAATTTCGTAACATAGCAAATGGTTCATTAATAATACATGAAATTTATGATTATAATTATTATTTTACAATTTTTGTAAGATTGATTTAGGAATATAATCATGGATCTCATAATTTAAATTTTCTTGCTGATTAGAATTAGTTTGTTATAAAATGCGATCATATTTTAACGATGAACTCATTTTCAAATTAAAGATAAAGGAATTTTGATAAAATGTTCAACAATTTTAGGTGTATATTATATAAAGAATGCCAAAACAATAAAATTTTTACATTTTTGCGAAACTTTTAAGCGCAACACGTTTCACCTTTTACATCATTTTCATGTCATTCTCATCAATCATCTCTCCGTACCTCATCTTTTCAATATCTTAGTTTTTCTTTCTCTTTCGCTTGTTTTGATATTCTCGACAAAGAATTCAAAATAGATTATCGTGAGTAATCAAGATTTAAAATATGTTCTACTTGCCATTCTAGATAATGGTGAACCTGATTGATCCATGTATACTTTCTGTGATAAGGATAGGTATTGTTAAATTGTTATCAGATAAAAAGAACTTGGTCTTAAATAATCTACTTCTACGCAATTAATCCTCAATTCCCTTCTTTACGATATATGACAACTACGACATTTTTGGTAATGTTCTGCACTGAGGAAATATTTTGAAGTTTCTTCATTATTATTACTCCTCCATATTAAAATACTTTTTTTTTCTTTGCTAGAAAAAAAAAATGTTATATATCTCAGAATTCTTTAGTATTTTGGTTGGTTAATGTCATAACACAAATTTCAAAAAATTAAGTGGTACAAAGGTTGTTTCATTTTATTAGAAAATAAATGTAATCAATTGAACGTATCGGATCGGTATCTAATATGATAAGAAGACAACTTCTCACATAACAAATGAAACAACCATGGTAACGATCGAAGAGGTCAGAGTTGGAAGAGCTGGAAGAAGCGAGTAACGAGCTGAAGAAATTTTGAGGAAGGGAAGGTAGTTGAAATGGTTAGTTAGAAGGATGCAGACAAAGAGAATTAATAAAAAGGAGTTTCTGCAGAAGGAATGAAAAGAAATGATGAGAAAAGGCAGTACTTAAACGGGAGCAAGTACAATACTCAGACAGGTATGACTCAGAAGTAGGGGATATAGTGTAGAACGTAACAGGCATATAAACCACCTTATCAATATTCAGAATGAAATTATACGTTCGCCTATAGTGCTAACGCTAATATTTAATATTTCGAATTCAGTCAGGGATTTTTGGCGCAACCTGATAAAGAACGCACAGAAGGTATTATACTACATACGTATTATGCGAAACAATGGTGAACAAATGGTACTATTATCGAAGACTTCAAAACCAAAAAATTGAGGAAGATTCTGCATGTTGCTAGGGTGTATTAATTTATCGGCAAAATGCTATCATACTCTATAGTAAGTACAATTTCCATTTATGCTTTATGCTTATGCTTTTGTTTTTTAAAATAAATTTATCGTATAACTTTCTTGCATGCTGGCAGTATTAGCCTTCAAGTTCAAGTTCTCCCAATGATTGTGTCTGTTAAGGAATCAGTAAAGTTATATCAAATTAATAATACTTTAAAACTAAACTTTCTCACAAGGTATGATTTCGTGAGCATTGGAATAATAACTAAGTCGTTCTTTTTATATGAGTTTGACAAAATGCACAAGATAGCGTATTAAAAGATTCCTTCTAGTTGCATTTACAGGTTGAGAGACAGACTGCGTGGCGTTATCTCGAACTTCAATCATTTATCAGTGTTGGCACATTTGCGATAGTGGAAAGATAGATTAATCTGCTTTAAACGCAAGAGTTGGAATTGCAAAACCCAAAATTCCATTGGAACAATTGGAGGAACTTCTAAAAATTCATGATGATTGAAATCTATCTATTGAGACCCAGCTTGATTTTATTTTACAGCTTGAATAATTATAATGTCCACAAAGAATATCTTCCAAAGAATTTTTTTCAATGAGAACGTTTCTATAGAAGGAAAATGCTCCATTCATGAAACAATTCCAGAAAAACAACCCCAAAACTCAAAGTGATGATTCTTTGATTATCAAAAGAAATGGTAAGATGTTTAAAAAGGCGTGTAAAGTTTTTTTATTTAAAATAAAATAAAACAAATGCCTTAATTATTTCACGTAGCTTTCGATTCTTCGTTATATTAGTTAAGAATTAACCTTTTTTTCTTGAATTTTTGCTAGATCATATAAACCCAATAGATTGAAAATGCAATTTTGGATTTAAGTATAAGATATGAAGTAATGTTAGCGTCAATAAGTGAGTGCTGACAATGGTGATTTTGTCAACAGGTGTCAATTATCGGTTCCTGGGCCAATACTCTGAATGGGTGAATCATGAGAAGAGAATATTGAGGGTTCATGCCAAAATGTTTATTCCCAATGCTCGATGATTTGAAACACTCGCCATCATTAAAACTCGTTGCTTGACGTGGATCAATCGCTAGTGTAAAATATGCGATACTAAAAACTTAATGGTCGATGAGTTCACAACATCACAATCATAATATATTTTTAAAGCGGAAAAACATTTAGATTTTTGAATTTTTTTTTTTTTGTTTTGTAAAGAAACTAATTCAAGCAAAAGATATTTAGTTTCAAGTAAAAGCATGGACTTTTTGTTGACATTCCATTTTGTAAAGTTTTATATACAAATAATAATAAAATAAAAACATTTTTTGAATTATATTTTTCTTTTAAACCTTTTTTATTATCACCAAATCATATATACACGCCAAAAAAAAAAAAATTAAATTAATAAAAAATTCTCATCGAACCAAACCAAGAAAAGATGGTAAAAAATAAAATCTAATTATCTGAAGAATTCTGTTTGTTATCAGGATAACGATGAAAAACTGAAAAATGAAACGTATCACCGAAAATCTAAAATTTACAATAATCATTCGTAATGACAGAACAACATTTTTTTTCAACAATCGAATCTTTATTGATAAAGGATCAACGGAAAAATGAATTCGAAATTTTTTTTTTTGTTTGCAACATCGTTTTTTATTATACATTGGCATACTATGCCTTCATTGAATTTCCAAAACACAATAGTTGAAATGTAGATTAAATGATTACAAGTCGTA